TCATACTTACTCATTGAGACTAATTATAATAGTGATGTAGCAAAACTAAGACAGACTGCTGCATTCTCACAGGTTGTTAATTAGAATGCATAACAAGGGATTGTCATCATGTTTTACTGAAAAGGAATCAAAATGGAAGCAGCCTCATTGGAAGCACTAAAAAAAAAAAAAAAAAGAGAGAAAGATGCAAAGAAAAATTAACCCTCCCTTAATAGCAGTCTGTTCTTTATTAAAGTCTTGGAATTTAACACTGAACCACTTTTGGAAGAGCTGCTATAAAAAAATCTTAGTCCTCATACGTGACCCAGGCTTTTATCTCTTCTAGCAGGTGAAAATAAATGAAGAATACCTAGGCCTGACTTTTATAATGTATTTCAGATACTTAATGGAGTGCTGTCAATATCTCAGTCTTTACTGCTTGATATCAGTCCTCCTTTACTGGATGAGTTCCTTGAGAAAGAATTAGCAATCCTCCCCCAGCAGCAGCTGCTGTCTGTGAATATTTTGGAGGTTGCCCTTTCCAGATTCTGAGGATAATGGCAGAAAACAGACCTGATTATATTGTGTTGACATTCATATGGCCAGTGCTAATTTTGTCAGGGCCATCTGTGGTTTTAACTGAAATGATTAAATACTAATAATTTTAATGGAGAAACAGTAAAGAAAAGAACCCAACAAAAGTGCCCACTCTTAAATGATTCCCCATCAGACTTCAACAAGATGTAGTGAGCTCTGCCTCATCTCTCTTTTTCAATTAGAAGAATCAGAACTGAGTGCCATTCTTCTGGGTACTATCCGTGGGAGGCATTCTGAGATGCTACAGACTTAACAAGGAGATAGTCCTTTCAACATCTAGAAAATCTGCCATCAAAGTACCTTACTAATATGAAAAATACATGACTTTAAGATACAGCTGAGATGAGAGGGTGACAATTCTTTTCAAAGATATATCAGGATATTTTGCTCATTGTCATCATAATTTTATCAGTGTGACACTGCCTGGGATGCTTGCTCTTAAACATTCTTTTCTAAGATACTGTAGAGGCAACAAATGCATTATTACCAATCTGTATTCCTTCCAAAGAAAATCCCAGCTATGGGGATCCACTGCTTCATTACTTTAATTAATTTTATCTCTCACAGTGCTATGCTTAGCTGACACAGAAATTGCACAAAACTCAACCACAGTGCAGTGCCCTATAGAAGTGAAGCAGCGAATTTGAAATATGCTCATTTTGATTTAATTATCTAATTTGGTTCAGAGTTCTAGGCTCAAGCATCTAATGGTGCAGTGCCCAAGGAGTCTTTTGCAGAATCAGTGCTCACCACCAGCCTTTAGAGAACAAGCAAGGCTTAAAAACAGGTTACCTAAAAAAGAAATGAGGGAGGACACAGATCTCTGCATGCTTCTCTGTAAGGCAGTTGACTCTACTTGCAGCCCTTGGTTTGAATCAGATAGTTTCAGTCTTTTAAAGGGTCAGCTGAGCTTGCTCTGCTAGCTATCACTGTTTCCTAATGGCCTGTAGGACAGCAAAACAGAAGTAGGTATTAGTAAAATCTGATCCAAATCTTTTTACCAAATGTGATGCAACTTTATTCTGAAAAGGGCCTTGCTATTGGTTTCTTACGAAGAATTTGTGGATACTCATTGCAGTATAAATACTTATATGAAGATAAGAGGTCAGTCATTGAGATCAGTTCGTGGTATCCATAACAGAGTACTTGAATTCCACGTGTGAACAGGAGCAGCTTGGTTCGTAATGCTTATTTGTATTAAAGTTGTCCACATAGATATTATTGTCTGTCGTGCCAGCAGTTGCTGGCCCACATTCTCTAAGCGGGAAAGAGAAAAGAGAAGCATGAAGCAATGTGCGTTTTTTTGCAATTAGGTCTATTTCATCTATCTTACTAACTAGGCAAAATCACAAGGAAATAAATCTGCACTAGCACTTAATGATCAGTTGGTTAGCTGACAGATGCAGGCAAGCCCAGTGATATAAAAATTACTGTCATTATGAAGAGCTTCTACTAAGATTTTTTTATTAAAAATGTGAACATTCTGTTTCAACAATGATATTTAAAATTTGTCTTTTCATTACCTTTAATAACCAATTTTCTGCCAGAATGACCTAGAATGCTATCATATGGCTTCTGTATTAAAATTTATTTTAAAAAACCAAGGCACTATGTCCCGTAACAGGCATAATTAAGCTACAGTTCAAACAGTATATGAGATGCATGTATAGCGTAACTAGGTATTAGTTTACAGTCTGTTCCATTTATCATATGTTAAAAGAGTTGCAAATGAAATTAGTAAAACCCTATTCTAATTTATAACTTCTGAAAATATTTGTTTGTTTGTTTTCTGTTTGGGTTTTGTCTTGTTTTCAAAGTCGAAAATCATCCAGAGTATATTATACTGGTAAAACACTAGGGACCAAAAATTAGCTTGAATAGCTACTTGGGAATTTTGCAATGAGTAGTGCTGATGTAGCAGCCATTTGTTATTTGCAGTGTATAGGCATCACTGTAGAGGGCATGGACAGGGAATATGGTATTGGTATTCCCAGCGTAATACACGAGATCCACAGAAAAATAGGAGCAAGTTGGTTGGTCATTCTGATTTGTACTAAAATTACCCACATACATAATATTGCCTGCTGTGCTTGTAGGTGTAATGATGAAAGAGACAGGACATCTCTTTCCACATTTAGGGAAAAAGGCAGGGGGAGTGTTTTTAAAGCACACAAAGTGATTTGTGAGGAGCTGAAGCTGCTCTTGCACTTTTGAGGGCAGGGAGAAAGTCCCTTGTCCTGCACAACCTTTCAGCAACTAGATATTAACATTTTTAATGGATTTTGAAAGAGCTATTTATATCCATTATAATGGATTTTTTTCAAGCTATTTCAAGATACAAGACTTTTCAAGTAATTATGTCAAAGACAAATTACTCATGCTATGATGGACTTCTACAAATACATAAAAATTAAGCAATTACAAGTGCAAAGCAGTTGGTTAATTTCCATAACTACTACATAACAAAACTTACATATAGAAATCCAGATACATGTACGTAAGAATTCCCTACTGTTTGTAAAATGCATAGTAATGAGAGTCGGTGGTCTATATTTGAGGTCTTGAGGTGTTATTACCAGAAGAGGCAGACATCCTGCAGATGGAATGGATTGTCTTTAAATAATCCCAAGCTTCCTAATTTAAGATTGGCTTTCCATTCTTAATTTAGTTTGTTTATTTAAATTTAAGAGTGTTTCTAGATAAAATCATTATCAGAGCCACATTGACTCCAGTGGTGTTACATACTATAGGAAGTACCTACATAACACAGTACATGATAATCATAAGCCTGGACAGTCCAATTTATTAATTTAAATATGCTGTTACTCTACCCAGGCTACTTTGGATATCTTTATTCAAGGTTGCTGTTTGTGTTTTAGGAATAAATGGTAGCGACAACAGATGGTGAGGTAGCAATAGAAATTGTAATGTGCAGTAGACTTTGTAATTAAATGCTAGCAGAGGATTGGTGCAGATGAGGAGTCCTGACTTTTGTTGTGTGTTTTAGAGAGCTGTCTTTCAGACCCTTCTCTCCCACCTTGCTTTAGCTTACTTGACCTTTTTTTTTTTTTTGCTTCTGGCCATTCCTGTCTGTTATCATTTTAGTCTGTCAACCTACATTTCCAAACTTCTATGCATCCACCTCTTTTTTATATTTTGCCCTTCCCAAGAGTGGATTACAATTTTCTTATCACCCACTCTGCTACAGGTCTCAGCACTGAGGTCTTCACCCTCAAGCCACTTAGGCTGTGGGAAGGTGAACATTTTAAGCACAAGATAGTGTTTCCCTGCTGACGTTTTCTGAGGACACAGCAGCCTGTGGAAGCAATCACAGGGCAAATGCTGCTTGTCCCACGCATGCTAATTTGAGCAGATTCAGACATTCTCATGGAATGATACTCATAGACCTGTACTAGCTTGTATGCATTGTAGCAGGCATGAAAAATTATCACAAAAATGGATTCAAACCTTAATGTACTAGCAGTTTCTCATCACTAAGAGGTTTTTTTTCAGATAGAATTAAATCTGAAACCCTAACCCTGAGATGTCAGTTCCGCCAAATTTCAAGGAATCTCTTCAAAGCAGGGAACTTGATAGTGAGGAGGCTGTATGATTTATTTGTCCTATTTGTGTAATTTTTCTATAACTTTATTTCTGAAGTAGCTGGAACACACCCTATTGGCAGACTGATAAGTTGTCGAAAAAAGGCCCTTAGAAGTGCAATGTGTCAGGTGACCTTCATTTTTTAACAACATAGACTTATTTTTTTTAAAAGCGCAAAATCAGGGGAAAAATCATACAGCAAAAACAGTACTTGTATAACAGCAATGTAAATTCTTTCAAATATATTTCAATTATGTCTTGAACATGGACACTTACTTTTGGATTGCTCTTTTCTATGCAGTGTTACTTTCTTATGTTGAACCCACCGATGCTCAAAAACCCCATGTATTAGGCCCTAGAACATCGTGGGATTGATTTACATATATTACACATAATCTCTAAATATTAAATGTGGGATGTTCACTTAATTCTGCTTGTTTGATTTTGAGCCTTCAGGGTCTCTTTGGGCCTCACTAAAGTTTTATCAGTAAGTAGAAGTCTGAAAGTGTTGTGAGGGCTTGTTTTTTTGTTTGTTTGTTTATTTGTTTTTAAAATGCCAAATGACACTTTACGTGAACTCCTCTGTTCAGGACATTGAGTCAAAAAGTACTTTACTGCAGGAAGCCACACCATAAATGCTATTGTAAAATGAGAATTGCCTGTAGCAAGAGCAAGGTAAATGAAATTTGTCACAAGGAGAACAGTACACTATGATAAAATGTTAAATAGTGTATCAAAAAGAAAAAAAAAATGTGTGAGTAAAATATTTACATAATTTAAAAAACTTTCAAAATACTATAAGAATCTGTTCTATCTTATAGGAACCCGATTAGCTCCAAAAGAAAAACTGGACATCCCACTGTTATTCATGCCAGATACTATGAAAATGTATGAGGCTGTGGTGGTAATTCATGTAATGAGGGAAAACGGTGAAAACTGGCCTTATGAGGATTCTGCTGAATTAAATAAAGAGAGGTAATTTATTCTAAAAGGAAAAGAAAATGTAGTTGAGGATGCTCAATCCTATCATAACTTTCCCCTTTGGTTATTTGTGTGTTGCTCCCAGAGGCAATCAAGTGTCTGATTTTGAGGGTGACAGGTATCCAACATAAGCTTTCAATGTACCCTGCAAGGTATGCAGATTTAGGGTAGGACTTTCATCTGTCTCAGTACTTACCTTTTCTAACTTTGATAAAGAAAATGTAAGTACTAGCTGTCAGTGTGGTTATGGATATTGAGCAAATGAAAGCTCTTACATGACTGTAATTTTTCAGTATATTTGGGCTAATAATGATTCTCCTGTGGATATGTTTATGTAATGCATAAACTGCATAAACTTTCTTTCAATGTAGAAATGACATAAGACAGAGCAGACCAGGCCAAATGTTCTTATATCCCTACAGAATGATATTTGAAGACACTAAACTAAGTGGCTGTAAATTATTCCTGTTCTGATTTGGTTGGATTTTATTTCATATTTTCCTTAGATATGTTTAGCCTTGCAACATACAATAAAATGGAGTCTCACCTCTCCAACAACTCTTAAGTCTAGATTACTTTGGGAAAAGTATTATCAGCATTCTATCATAATGATACTCTTCACTTATTTTCCAAGCAGTGTTACTGTAGCAGAGAATGGGGGAATTCAGGGAATACGCTGGGTCTATCCGGTTCATGGAATACCTGAAGCACCACAGCAGAAATTAGTTCCGGGTGAGTAATGATTGAAAAAAATGGAACAATAAATTTAAGAAAATTAAATAGAAATTGTGTTCCCACCTTCTTGCTGATGAGAATTTGCAGTAGTATTTGCCTTTCCCAACCTACAAAGCAAATATAGATCTGTTATTTTGTTCTTATCATGGATAAAAGGAGTCAGGAGCAGTTGAAAATCTCCAGGCTTGTTCCTTTCAGTGTCCCAGTTAATGATGAGTTAGAGAACTGAAGGTAAATCGAACGAAAGACTGACACGAGGGTAGATTTCTGCTGGCATACCCGGAACACCCTTCTGGAGAGTTTACAGAGTACAAAATATTAAAGTACATATCTGCTTTTTTTCTCAGCTTTGAATTTCACTCCTTAATCAAAACCAGAATAGATAGTGGCATGAAGAGCAGTGTTTTCCCCTTGCTCCTGAGAAGTAAATGTGCCTTAAAAATGACTGACATTCATAGACTTTTTTTTGTTGCTTATTTTTTGGGATAGTGTATGTTTATAGAATTGATTCACCTATTTTTTAAATGTGTAATGTAATCCCATAATTGTGAAACAGAACTTGTGAACAGCTTTTTAAATCTGTAACCTTCATGAAACTATAACTCAAGGTGTAGATAAGGGACAATTTTACACCAGCTTGTCTTTTCATCTTGTCTTTTGACGATTGGTTATAATACCTTTCTACACTACATAGACTAAGATATAGGAATAACTTTTGGAAAACTATTGTAATAGATATTTTTACTGTCATTAATTTAATCTGCTTAAGGACCCTTTACTTGCAGACAAATGCCAAGGATGCGGTATTAATTAGATCTTTCATCTTCTTAATTTTCACTTTAATACCTTAAAGTATGAAGCAAATATTATCATGCAATCAACTGTTGCCCAAAATGACAGTTTTAATGAGTCGCATTATCATTAAAACTATATATATTGATGTGAATGTTTGTTGTTTTTTTTAAAGCTGTTATGTTATTGCCTAGCAGACTTTGAGCCCTTTTATTGGGCTTTTGTTTTCATTAGGTAGAGGACATGAATTAAAAGTGTTAGCATTCATAAATTGCTTAAGTGACATCACTTCTGTATATGATCAGAAACATAATTAATGTCAAATCTTAAGTAATTTTAAATTCCTAAATGCTTCTTTAAAGCAGCAAATCTAAACTGTAGAATATTTATAACTGTGTTATCCACTGGTTTATGTTTAGTAAATATTTGTAATGCATGCAGGGAGCATTGCATTAATTTTGAATAAATTTCTCAGTCATCACCATGCTATGTTGTGCAAATTTTTTTTGTAAGGAAGTACGAGATCTTTCATTGAAAAATGACATGGGAAACTAAAATACCTGTTTGCAAGTGTATTTATGAAACAGATTCCATTCCTGCCTTGATTCTGAAGGTCCATGGCTTTCAGTTATAACTAGGTTTTTTTAAAAGCCCTGTTGTAAGATATGAATCCAAAGCAGGTAATTTACAAGAAACCTACTTTTTTTCTAAATCATTGTTTTTATTAATTACTGAAATAGTACTGTCATTTCTTTTAATGCAGACATTTATTAAAATTGCCTGGAGGCTACAAGCTGTTATGTCAAAAACCAAAGCTACTTTGCTAGTATATTAGGCAGTTCATCTTTTCTGTCATTCTTATTTACATCTTAATATACTTAAACTTCTAGAAGTCACTTGACTTAGTATCTCAGGAGACCAATTAGGAGATCAGTGGTCACAACACATAAAGTACATGTTAAGTAGATTACAGCTTGGCTAGCTTATAAAAGTGATTACAAATGGAGAGCCATACAGGTTACTTTTTTAATCCTTGTGGGGTCAAAGCAGCATAAAATAATTTAATTGGAAGGGACCACCGGAGGTCATCTAATCCAACCCCCTGCTCAAAGCCAGGTCTAGTTAGATCAGGTTGGTCAGGGACTTGTCCAGTCACATCCCACAGGAACCTGATTTTTATCCATAAATATTACCTAACCATTTAGGAAAAAGGAAATGTAGAATAATTTCTGGTAGTAGGATGAGCTGCAGAGTTGAAAATGGTGTGGACACAACATGTGCACTCAATAATCTGGAATACTTTGTAATCTGGTGTAATACAGACAATGTAATTTATTCTTAAACATAAAGCCATGCATCTTGAAAAAAAGATGCAGTTTTAACTATTTCAGTAACTCTCGCTCATGGAAATGCTTAGAAGAGAGCTATAAAAATTACTTAAACCCTGTTAAACAGGAAAAGACGAAGGAAGACAAAGAATGGGGTTTCTTTAGAGAAAGGAAATGACTTGAACTTAATGTGCAATTATCTGTTTTCCAAAATCATGATAGTGAGTCAAGGTCTAGAACTGAAAGTTGAAGCTAAATAAACATGGTATAGAAGCAAGGATTTCATTGCTCATTTTTCAAGCATGTTACATAATTACGTACCAAGATATGTTTCTAAATATTTATCATTAAAACTTGATGTTAAATCAGAGTTAATTTTTAAAGAATCATTGGGTATAATTCTGATGAAAATAATATTTTGAGCTTGAAACTGAGAAATGTTAATCAGCTCTTCTTTTTCGTGTTGATTTCCATAACTCTAAAGTCTTTTATTTGGGAAAACGTATATTTCTTTCCATCCTTACATCTAATTTTCTCCTCTTTCTGTGCCAATAATTATTGAAAGAACCATAAACAATAAATATTGAAGTAAGATTTATAAAATTTTGTGTATCAACTAAAACCCAACTACCCTGTAATGAAAAAAGACATATTTTAGAAGCGGTAAGTTAAAATCACTTACTGAATTGAAAAAAACTCTGCCATGCTTCAAAGAGAAACTCATGTCAACATGTTTTTTTATTCTAATATAGTTCTGTAAAAGCCAAAGTTTGAACAACAGTATTCTTAAATCAAGAAATCAAAGAGTAACTTAATATTCCTTCATTTAAATTTTAAAATATTTGATTTCTTTGCTTGCCTTTTAGTCTTGATTTCTCATTGGCATATGTCAAGCCATACCATAATTTCTATTTGCAAATGAAATAAAATGAGGATAGATTTCATGATTACAAAGAAAGGAGAAATTTGCAGGTGCTGTTGCGAACTAACTGTAGGAGCAGATTTTCATTTGCTTATCGATATTTTCTACTACTTCACCTAGACAGAACAATAGAAACTGTGAAATGGGAAAAAGCTTTTAGTCATCTTGGTCCTTATTGGAATTCTGTCACTCTCTAGGCACATTTGACTGATATGTTTAGTTGTTTTGTTAAAATCAAGATGCTGATGCTTTATAAATAATGAGCTCTTTCTTTTCTGTAGCTGTCGTACACTGTCAAGCCAGGCAGAGAGTGGAAAAAAGAGTAGAAGTGCTGCTGACTGGTGTAGTTCCTGGTGCAACTGCTATGCCTACTGCAAGAAAATTTTCCATGGTCAATACAAATAAGCCAGCCAACATACAAGAGGAGGTTCAAGTCACTGATGGTAAGGATAAATAGCTTGGATATCATGCTATTTTAGGAACACTGCAGATAAGGTAAGTGCTTCACCAAATGTAGCTCTGCCATAACAGCAGATGGGGTTTAGACTGATCCTTCTCTCAGTCCATATTTCTACCCTGTTGCAAATATGGGACATTTGTATAACAGCATGTCTGCAGTTATAGGTGTCTTTAAACCTGATCCTTTCTTTTCGTATCTGTCTTGGATGTGAGGCTTGCACACATACTCCCTCTCCTTTAAAAGACAATAGCTTCCACAAAGTCTAAAGTTAGCAAAAATATGTCTGTGTAAGCATTGCAAGGAAATATTTATCTGCAGATTGTCCCTATTGTTACATGCACTCCCACCAGCAGACAAATATCTCCAGAAGAATGGATTGAAGAAGGAGGCCTTGTTTAAAAGAAGCAATAAAGCTTTGCAAAAAGATAGCTTCCACTTACTGTTAATCAGCAGAAGACACAGTGAAAATCAATTTATTTGGAAATACACCAGCTTTTCATATTCTATCTCTCTGGAACAGAATAGTGCGAATTATAAGCAGTAGTAAGAAAAGAATCCTTGTTAACTGCTATATGCCCAGTATTTCTGTTAATGGATGTATGTTAGTAGTCATACTCGCTACAACAAATTATGCATAGTTTCATTTTACCTTCATGAATTATTGCACATTTAAGACTTAACTTACATTTATTGTGGGGTTCAAAGTCATCCTACTTTTTAAGAAAAATGTTACTTAAAAACTATGACACATGACATGAGACATCCTAATGTGTTTTCAACATAGTGGTAAATGAGGGGAAGTGTAATGCATTGTATGGTGGTAAAAGATGAGTCTACAGAAGTTGATATGATTGCAATCTATTAGGCAATCAGTTTGAGAGGCAGGAAAACTTGACTTTTGTGTATCATTTATGGCATTTAGAATCTGGGCCTGTAGAGGCTTTGCAGGAATACCGTGTTACAGAAACTCTCCTGCCAAAGAACTCTGAAAAACTGAAAAGTTGTAAAATGTAAATCAAGACGCACTACATCCTTCCTACAAGAATGATTTTCATGCAAATATTGCCTCACCCTGCACACTTACCAGTGTGGTCTAAATATCAGCAATCACTGTCAGGATCTTTGAAGAGAATTTTCTTTTTTGGTGCTTTTAAAACAGGAGGGAATCTGAAGTTGAACGGTTAACAAGAGCTTGCAAAGGATATACTGACTGATTAGTTAATATTTATAATTACTTAGTTAAACTTTATATTTGCTCATATTGTGGTGTCAAAGATAATTTATTGTCTGGGCATGTTATTATCTTATATTCCCATATTATGTGATACTGATTAATCTAGTAAAATAAAAATGTGAAGTTCACAACATACATTCTTTCCTCTTTGGAGAACTGTAGATATATAACTTTATTCAACCATGTGAGAACTGCTGTGTAACAAAATACAAGATACTTTTTTTTTTTTTTTTTTTTTTGCTATAGTGTAGCAGATTTAGCTCTTTATTGATGTGTCACATATGAGTAGGCTACCTTAAACATACCTGAGCTGTTTCCCTCCAACATAGTGGCATCTGAATTGACAAGAATACCGTGCACTGAGCAAGTTTAGGCAGCATTTTGAAAGACTTGCAGGTTCATGATGTGTAGTGCTTGTTTTATTCTTAGGAATAATATTTCGTATTGACACTGGCTTCTGCACATACTGAAATACATTGGTTTGGGACATTGCATCTTTTCAAGCAAGAAGTCTGGTAATGCTTTACATCATAGGTAGTAAGGTCATTTATAACTGGCTTTTCATGGTTTTCAATGACATTATAGGGCCATTATTGCTAGATGAATTTGATGCCTGTTAGGAATCAAATTTAATGGTACTGTCTCAGCTTTCTGCAGTCTACCGGCAATAATGTAAATAAAAGCGTAAACCTCTAAGATAACAGCCTGGCAATCTGTTTTTCATTTTTTCTCTTCTGAAAGCGTGATTCACCAGAGTGTATGTTTGATGTGTAGTAAGCAGTTTTTATATCCTGAGATAAATGATGATAATTACTGTCAGATGAGATTTAAACAGCTGCTACTGTGCTTCAGTATTTAAATTATTTGATAAGTATAAATTATTGGGAAGTGAAAAATCTTCAGGCATGTCTTTTACGTTAAAAGAATTCAGTTTCATCCAAGCTGGAAGATATCATATGAAACAGAAAATTAATATAATTTTTTAAGAAAGAGGGGACAATCTAAAAACTGTCTAGCTAAAATTACATAGTTTGTTGTACAGAAGTCAGCAAAGTTACAGAGATCAAATAACTAAACATTAATGTTTTATACATAGCAATTATGATATGGCCCTTTAAAAATAATTGTCTGTTGTTTTAAATGCATATTTTAAACCTATATGTATTTTTCATCTGCTTCCTTATGTATGGCTCCAGAGACCTTTTTTTCAGTAAATGAAATTTGAGACTGAAGATTCATCCAAACAAGTGTGACAATTGTTATTTTTTATTCTAATAAAACAGCTTTTTTAGTTTACTTTAAAAATTCAGTGGGAAATACAAACATGTTTAGTTTTCCATGATCTTCTAAGAAAAACATCAAACATTCAGAAATTTTCAGTTATAGATATTTGACTGAAATTCATAAGTTTCTAAGCAACCAAACTTGACCATGTTGAGAGCTTGTGTAGTACACAGGCAGAGTATCTTCTGCTTGAGGAAATACACTAAACAATCCCCTTCTGTCTCTGTGTTCATAATAGTCCTTTGTAAACCATCCCTTCCAATTGCTTCAGTTTATCACATAAACCAACCATAAGGGCTGGGTGTTTATAATTAACTTCCCTAATCTTCATTAATTCATAGTGCTTCTCACAGCCAACGGCTGGTCTTAGCTCCTTGTTCCTGAGTTCTTGTTTCTGGGAAGGTTTCATGAGAGTTATTTTTTGTGGGAGAATAATGCTGTCCAGGTTCTGTAGGGTAGCACAAGTATTAGGGGTTCTTTGTTATGTGGAAGTTTCACAGCTAGGCTGACCTCTGACTAAACAGATGGATAGTTCAGTTGCACCTAGTGGTTAAATAACAATTTCCAGTTGTACTTATCCATAATGTACATTGACATACAAAATGTATCCATACCCTTTGTTTCACCATCTATCAAACAAGCAGATATATATGTTCTACACAGTTTTATAGCAATCATCTATCATTCTAAAATTCCTGAAGTATTGACACTCATCAGAATTCACTCTTTCTTAAATTTCATTAAAGCAGCTCTTTGAAACAGGGGAAGAACAACATGTCCAAACATGTGTTAAAAGCTATTCCCCACCCTAGCAAGATTTCATGTTAGTCAGTTGTATGGGTTCCACTGAATGCCAATTTGATGTGATGGATCTGGATTGGGAAGATCACTTTTCAGAAATGAGTTCAATAAAAATGGATATCACCAAAAGATCACTTTTCAGAAATGAGTTCAATAAAAATGGATATCACCAAAGAAATCTTTTTAGCATAAGGCAGAAAGATGCCAGTATAGGTGAAGACAAAATATTCTTATAGATTTCTCTCTCATCCAGAGAGATTTTAATTGCTGATAAACTGTGTCAGGTTAATATTGAAAGCAATATGAAGAGAATAATAATGATGAAGATGGCCCTATATCTAACTTAAACCATCTCTCTATTGTAAGAATAATTGTGGAATTATTCTTGAAACGGTATTTTAGGATGAGAGAACTATAGCTACATAAAAGCTTAAGTGATTTTTTTTTCCTGTGTGAGAAGTGGAAGAAAGAACAAAGAAGTGTTTGTTTTGGATTAACAGTCGATGAAAGCTGTTAGAAATGGCAAAATTAAAGTGTTGACAAGGGGGTGAACTACCATTTGGGTCAGTCTGTAATGGATTATTACCTTGTTGTTAAGGGCGACAACTCCTGCTGGAAAACAGAGAACTGAGTAGAAGTCAAAGAATAGGACATCAGAGTAGAAATGAAAGCCTAGATGGATTTTTTTGTCAGCTACGTAATTTTTGTTTACATCTGGCTGTTTCTTTATTTATGAGTGAAACATAGGAGAGATTTGATGCATTGTTCGTGTTCTTTATTGAACTGCAATATGCACAGGCATTTTAATGAAGAACTTTAAATATGATTTATTCACCTGATGATGATATACAAGGTTACCACTTGGTCCATTAAAAAGGAAACAATTTAGCATAATACTTTCTCTCACAGTACCTCCCCCACCATTTCTTAATATTACTAGAACAATAATGACAAATAATATATAAAAAGAGCTTGTGAATTGTGAGCAAACACAATTTGTAACTACAAAGCACTGCTTATATTTCTCTTTACAGGACACAGACTCACTTCTGTTTCTTTGACATTTTATAAAATGTTGAAATCCACAAGCCTTAAGAATGAAATTCATCATTATGTAAATTAAGATTACTTTCTAACTCCTATGCAAAATCATGCTCAATTAAAATATTCAACACTTACAGGGAACAAGAACAATTATAAACTAATCTGAAGCAATTTATTCAGCTTCACAAAAATGCAAAAAAAATAACTAATACAAAACCAGAAACGATTCAGTTATTCCTGGTGTTACTTTTCAGTATGATGTACATCCAGGAAAAATGAGAAGTCCAGAAGGACTGAGTCTTTTCTAAAAGCCAATTGCAATGTAATTGCAAGTGAGGAGTAGCTTAACAGATCAGATTGCAAGGTCTTTTCAGCTTCTGGAAGTGGTGTATTCTGTATCTGGCAGGCTCAAAAGAAGTGCCTTTAAAATTAACATTAAACTCTTTGCTACGTATGTCCGATGTTATTTCAAGCATTGTGAATTTGAGTTTTCACATTAAGAAGCCTTGGATTGGTTTGTGTCAGCTCTACAGAATTTCAAAGGGCAAATAAATGGTACTGGACATAGAAATTTAAAACAGTGTTTTATGGTTCATTGAAAAACCAAAACTGGCCTTGCT